TAGTGATGCTTCCTAAGGCCCACTTGACTTCACATTCCAGGATGTCTGACTCTTGGTGAGTGTGAGTGATCATACCATCATGATTATCTGGGTCATGAAGATCTTTTTTGTATAGTTCTTCTGTGTATTCTTGCCACCTCTTCTTAATATCTTGTGCTTCTGTTAGGTCCATACCATTTCTGTCCTTTATTGAGCCTATCTTTGCATGAAATGTTCCCTTGGTATTTCTAATTTTCTTGAATAGATCTCTAGTCTTTCCCAGTCTGTTGTTTTCCTCTATTTCTTTGCATTGATCACTGAGGAAGGCTTTCTTATCTCTCCTTGCTATTCTTTGGAACTCTGCATTCAAATGGGTGTATCTTTCCCTTTCTCCTTTGCTTTTCACTTCTCTTCTTTTCTCAGCTATTTGTAAGGCCTCCTCAAACAGCCGTTTTGCTTTTTTGCATTTCTTTTTCTTGGGGATGGTCTTGATTCCTGTCTCCTGTACAGTGTCACAAACCTCCATCCATAGTTCATCAGGCACTCTGTCTATCAGATCTAGTTCTTTAATTCTATTTCTCACTTCATTGTATAGTCATAAGGCATTTGATTTAGGTCATACCTGAATGGTCTAGTGGTTTTCCCCACTTGCTTCAATTTCAGTCTGAATTTGGCAATAAGGAGTTCATGATCCTTATGGATGTAGTGAGGGATGATGCCCAACATTCTACAATGCACAAGACAACAAAGAATTATCTGGTCTCAAATGTCAGTGGTGGCAGTGTTGCTTATCCCAACCACAAGCTCCTTCTCCTGCCTTCCAGTAGCTGACCATGCCCTTTACTTCACTGAGGAAGCAGAGATGAACTGGCATGAATGTCCTCAGATTTCTGGCCTTCTTATAATGTGTCCTGAGCTGTAAAATAGGGATCTTATTAGTGCCTGTGTCATAGGACCATTATGATGACTCTACTGTCTCTCACCTGTTACTGTAACAGTCCTAAAACCAGTCTTCTTGACTTATCTCTCACCTGTTACTGTAACAGACTTATAACCAGTCTTCCTGCTCTTACCTCTCACCATCACTTCTTCTACTCTGCCATCATATGACATTTCTGAAAGTACATCTCATTAGTTCATAACCCTCCTATTCAGGGGTGGACAATGTTGGTGGGAAAAGTGTAAACCTCTTAGTATGGTATTGAAGGTTTCCTGATTTCCTGAAGGGTGTTGAGTTTGGTGAGACAGTTCTCCAACTTGCAGATATGCAGGGATGCAGGTTCTTTCTCTCTTGTGACTCTGTTCTCTTCAAGGGTCTCATCATCATCTGCATTCAGCTGGTGAAAGGAATGAGCAAGGAGGAAGACATGTGAGAGGATTTTATTAGCTAGGCCTAGAAGTGGCACACATTACTTTCACTTATATTTTGTTGGCGAGATCTTGGTCACAGGACCATGCTTAACTGCAAGGGAGACTGGGAAGTGTAATCTAGCCGTGTGTCCAAAGAAGGCAATGAGGGATTTTGGTGGATGGTTGGTGATCTTTGCTACATTTCTCACACCTTTGTTTGCTCACCCTTTTCTATTCATTTTAAAAATATTTGAGTCCCTTCTATCTCCATCCCTTCTTCAGAGCACTGACATCTTTGTTACCCTCTGATGCTTGATCATTTTCTACCATCGTGATTTTTGTGTCTTCTCTATTAGCCTGTAAGCTTCTGGAGCATTGGGATTATTGCTGACTCATTTCTGATTCTCAAGCGTTTAGTTCCTTACATATTTATTGAGTGAATGAATACATGCATGGCTGTTGAGTAGAAGAGTAGTCAATTGCTGAAGTTCTTTAAAAGTCCAGTACTCAAAGATTCTATGTTTTCAGTTTTAGAAATTTTTCTCTAAAACTAAGGCACTGGTAATTTGTGGCAGATTAATTTACATGTGATCAGTTCAGTTCAGTCGCTCAGTCGTGTCCGATTCTTTGCAACCCTATGAATCTCAGCATGCCAGGCCTCCCTGTCCATCACCAACTCCCGGAGTTTACTCAGACTTATGTCCATTGAGTCAGTGATGCTATCCAGCCATCTCATGACTCTGTCATCCTCTTCTGCTCCTGCCCCCAATCCCTCCCAGCATCAAGGTCTTTTCCAGTGAGTCAACTCTTCACATGAGGTGGCCAAAGTACTGAAGCTTCAGCTTCAGCATCAGTNAGCAATCTTGATTCCAGCTTGTGCTTCTTCCAGCCCAGCGTTTCTCATGATGTATTCTGCATATAAGTTAAATAAGCAGGGTGACAATATACAGCCTTGACACACTCCTTTCCCTATTTGGAACCAGTCTGTTGTTCCATTACATGTGATAAATATATAAATACTTAAATGCTGTAATTTGTTATCTACCTTGTGTGAATGTATCTCTAATATCATTTTTTCTTTTTTGGAGATAATTTTAAAATCTGTTAATGTTAATGAGCATAATCTGCTGGACCTTGGCACATTTATGCAGTACATAAAAGATAATGAGATAAACATGAAATTGACTTTTAAGAGTTTGGACACAAATAATGATGGTTTGTTTTTAATACAACTAGTAATTTTATCCAAAAATTAATTGTGTTTTAGTAAAGGTTTACTTTTAGGTGTTTGGCTTCTCTGAAAGGTTATTGAAAACTCATTTATTTATTTGTCATTTGTTTTATTATTACTTTTTAGAAATATTTTAAAATGATGTCGTTTTTATTTACATACTACCTTTCAAAAAGAAAACCACCAACAAAAAGATTATACCCTTTGAGTAATATGCTTTTTAGCTAAAGATCTGATAAATATTTGTTTCATTTTGGTAAGATTTTTGCATGAAGCTCCATGTGGCAATGGTGGTTAAGCTGAGTCTGGAAAGATCAGTAGAAGTTACTCTAGTGAAGAGTAGGAAAGAGTGGTCCAGGCAGAGAAAATAGCTTGTTGGGAGGCTGTGGTCACCTCGGGGGAGTAGGTCATGTCTGAGGGACTAGAGGAAGACCAGTGAGGGTGGAGCTGAGAGCAAGGGGAAGTGTCAGAGATGAGGCTGGGAGGCTGGCACAGGTAGGGTCTTGGAAGGCCTTGGGGTCTGGGAAGGTTTCTGGACTTGATCATGAAGGGGAATGAGGTGGGAAGCCTCTGAAGAGTTTTCAATAGTAGGGGTAGTAACACCATCATATTTGTGTAGAGCATGGACTGGCATCTTGAACCACTGTGGGACTGGGTTGATGGGAATAAATGACTTGGGAAACACTTAGGCACAGAACAGACCACATTTGGTGGTTGAATGTGTAGTAGCCTGAGGGAAAGAAAAGACAAGAATGACTTATTTAAGCAATATTGGGTATATACTTTTTATTTATTAATATAGGAAATATCATATGGACTTTCCAGTCTCTTTGTCTCAGCAAGTAGAAAACATAATTGGGATGTTGGTGTTTTATGGCATGTTGTGATAATGTGCTGAATACTGCTTTACTGTTTGCCTCTGCATATTTTCAAACCTTCCAGTTGATGCTCATTTTCTTTATTCCTTTAAAGGAGTGATTAATCCTTCAGAAATTATCAATAGTCTCAACTTAATAGGTATACATATTTCTGAAAAAAAGGCATTGAAGATTCTTGAAAGGTCAGCCCTTACATATTATATACATTTTAAAATTAATTTTTATTTACTTTAAAACCTTTTGGGCTTCTCTTGTGGCTTAGACAGTAAAGAGTCTGCCTGCAATGCAGGAGACCTGGGTTCAATTCCTGGGTCAGGAAGATCCCCTGGAGAAGGAAATGACAACCCATTCCAGTATTCTTGCCTGGAAAATCCCATGGATGGAGGAGTTTGGTGGGCTACAGTCCATGGGGTCACAATGAGTTGGACACGACTGAGTGACTTCATTTTCTTTCTTTCTTTAAAACCTTTTTGGGACTTCCCTTGCAGTCCAGTGGTTAGGACTCTGTGCTTTCACTGCAGGGGTTGTGGGTTCAATCTCTGGTTGGGGAACTAATATCCCTCATGCTGTACAGTACAGCCAAAAAAAGGAAAAAAAAAAAACCCCACAGGCAAACAAATAAACAAAAAACACAAACAGCGTTTTCATTATGAAAGTGAAAACTATGGAAATTTTATGAAAACATGAATAATGGCTCCTAATCATCTGTTTGCTATCACTCTTGTGCATGATATATTATCTGCTTTAAGTCTCTTAAGACTTTAGAGGCAAAGTCTGTTATTTTCCTTGTTCTACTGAGGTTAAGTAACTTGCTCAAGGTCACCACAATCCACCGCTGCAATATTAATCCATTGATATAATTTTATATCTATTTTATATTTATGTATATATCTATTTTTTATAAGATCATATACTTTATACTATTAGTCAATCCATCAAGCATCCAACCAATCAAGTCACCTATCAATCAGATATTGATTGATGCTTTTTGCCACACATGCAGTAGCCAGTGAGGATTCAGTGGTATAAAGGGTATGGTCCTGGTGCCCATCCTTGCAGAGCTAATAGTTTATGGGGCTGAGGGGAGCTGAGTTGCAGAGTGGTGAAAGTTATGATAGGGGCACATAGGAAAACACTGAAGAAAAGTATCTCTATTAGGAAAGAGAACTGAATTTTGTCAACTATACAGCTTTTTTCACTTAACCTATTTTTTAAAAACTTACTTTTGGCTGTGCTGGGTCTTCATTGCTGCATGGATTTTCTATTTGTGGCGAGTACGGGCTACTCTCTAGTTGCGGTGCGCAGGCTTCTCATTGCTGTGGCTTCTCTTGTTGGGAGCATGAGCTCTGAAGTGCGCAGGCTCGGCAGCTGCAGCTCCTGGGCTCTCCAGCACAGGCTCAGTTGTGGTGCACGGGCTTAGTTGCTCCGAGGCATGTAGGATCTTCCTGGAGCAGGGATCAAACCTGTGTCTCCTGCATTGGCAGGTGGATTCTTTACCACTGAGCCACCAGGGAAACCCTTCATTTGACTTATTTATTTAATATGCTATAGTAGTAGATCTGACATTAAACATTCCTGAGATAAAGCTAACTTGTTATGAACTGTTTCATTCAAGAAACATACAGACCAATAGAGAGTTTTATCACAAACAACCATACCATCACTGGATTTGTCATATTTAACATTTTACCATATTTGGTTCAGATTTTTCAAATAAGTAAAACATTACAGACAGCTGAAGTTTTCAGTGTCTTTAAACCCATTTCCTTCTCTTCTGCCAGAAGTAACTACTATCCTGAACTTATCCCCATACACATTTTTATCTCTGTATATTTTACTACGTATATATCCTTAAAGTATGATACTGTTTCTCATATTTTAGACATTATTTAAATGGTGGCATGCTGCATATTTTTTAAATCACTTTTTCTAAATATTATATTTTAGAGATTTGTTGATGTTGATGCCTATAGCATCAATCATTTTAGTCAGTGTACAGCTTCTATTTAATGTATATGATTCAATTTACTTATGAATTCTCCTGATGATGATAGAATTTAGGTTTTTAAAAAATTTTGTTTTGTTACTAGTACAACAATGCTGGAATGAATAGTCTCGTATACATCATCTTGTTTATTACTTGCAGTCAAGCTGCTTGGCTGTAGGGTGTACAGGCCTTTAATTAGACATTACAAATTTTTCTCCAAAGTGGTTTGTACCAATTTAGTATTCTACTAGAAATGTATTTCCTTCCTATTACTTGATACTATAGTCTCCTAATATTTAAATATTTTCCAAACCCATGGGTCAGAAATATTGTCCTGTTGTTTTAATATAATTTGATTTAATTTACTTATGTTCCTCATTGCTAGTGAGTCTGAACATCTTTTAATGTATTAGCTGGCCATTTGGATATTGCCTCCCTATGAATTACGTAAGTTAAGTCTTTTGCCTACTTTTAAGCTGAATTAGTCATTGTTTTCTTAATGGCTTGTAGCTGTTCTTTCATAAATTCTGGATATTAATCCTATGATGGTTATATGTGCTGCACATGTCTTTTCCCAGCTTGTTTCTTATTCTATATTCATTTTTTTGTGTTGTGTTTTTGTCATTGTGCAGAAAACTTCAGCTTTAATGTAGTCATATTTGTCCATCTTTTTCTTTTATGCATGTGCTTTTAACACCTTGAAAAATTCTTCCTTACCCTGGAATATAAAAATGTTAATGTATATCTTATTTTTACAATTTTGCATTTTACATTTAGTTCTTTAATTCATCTGTAATTGATGTTCATGTATGTTATAAAATTACATGTCCAGTTTCATTTTTTTCTATATGGTCTGTTGTTCTATCACCATTAATTGACTGATCTCATCTTTTCCCCACAATTTGAAATGCTTGCCTCTGTCATATTATTAAATTTCCATCTGTATATGGATGTGTTTCTCATCTCTTTATTTTATTACATTGGCTGTTGTCTGCTACGCATCATTACCATCTCCTAATTGCTGTCACTTTAGAATACATCTTGATATCTGGTTTTACTTTCTTCATTTTCAATAATGTCAGTGCTATTCTTGGCCCTTTAATCTTCTATATACATTTCAGAATCAGCTTATTCGGATACATATACAAATATGCACATGTGCATACATACACTCACATACCCCTTTTGGAACTTTTTTTTGCTGCACCATGCAGCATGTGGGATTCTTAGTTTCCCAACCAGGGATTGAACCTGTGACCCCTGCCCTGGAAGTGTGGAGTCCTAACCACTGGACCACCAGGAATTTAATTCCCCCCTTTTGGAATTTTGATTGCATTTGTATGTAATTTATAGATCCATTTGGGGGAGAAGTGATGTATTTATGATGTTACATTTTCTGTTTCATGAATATTATGTATGTCTTACTTTTTAGATCTTCTTTAATGTCTTTTAATAAAATGTTGTATGATCTCTATAAAGCTTTTATATAACTTTTATTGGATTTACTCATGGAAGCTAGGTTTTTGTTGCTCTTCTAAGTATACAGAGGAATTTGATTTGCTATCACTTCATCTAGAATTTTCATATCCATGTTAAAAATCAATACTACTCCAAGGGTTAAGATGGAACCTTGTTTCCTTTCTGTGGTCTGCAGGGCTCCACGTGGTCTGGCCCACCTCTCTAGCCTTGTCATCCAGAACTCTCCTTGCACTCTGTGCTCCAGGCCGACTGAGCTTTCAGTCTTAAACAACAACAGCAACAAACACCCTGGAGTCTCATTCCTTCAGCCCTTGTACAAACTGTTCTTTCTGTTTGGGAGATCCATTCCAGCTCCTTCACTTGGATATCCCTGGCTTATTCTTTAGGTCTCTGTTCAGATGTGACTCTGACCTCTGAAACTTTTTTGGTTTTGCTTGTATTTGCTTTTACAACTTTATAGAGGCTCATCTGTCATATTCCGTATTTCCAAAAGATGTAAAGCTGGGACCAAAGTATATTATCCATCATTTTATAGTCAATGCCTAGTACAGTGTCTGGAATGTACTAACAGATCAATACATGTTTTCTGTCTGATTTAATATTGTCACAAAAACCAAGGGTGGAGAGTATCAGATTTAACAGGAGGGACTGGCAACATAAATATTGAAAAAAAAATTCCTTGGATCTGCTCATTTGAGATTTCTGGGCCTCTCAGTGAAAACAGTTTCAGTGGATGGTAAAGGGTTATGTCAGATTGCATAGGGCTGAACGAATGGGAAGTGAGGAGGTGGGTATGATGAATGTGGTTTACTGATTTGGGAAGTTTAGATAAGAAGGAGAAGATGACTAATCAAGTCTTTTTACATTGTATCTTTATAATTTTTTGAAGGATAGGAGAGATTTGTGGAGAAGTAGCCATGAGAAAGAGAGACATTTGTTGGATATGTTGTAGAGAAAGGAAATTAATGATTGAGAAGGAGTAGGACCAATAGCTCGAGAGAGAGAGAGAGAGGGTCCTTGAGTAAGAGTCAACATGTAATTCTCTGAGTCTAGGAACATAGAAGGTCAGGATAAAAGTGGGTAGAGAGAAATTTATTCATTCATTTAGTGAGTGCATGACGTTTATCTAGATGTTAGGGATGTAGTAGTGAAGGAAACAGGCAGAAATTCCTGCTCTGTGGAACACACAATAACCAAGAGGAGACAATAGTAGAAAAACAAATTATGTTAGATGGTGATAAGTAGAAAAATAATAGAAGGGAGGAAAGCAGTATGGATATGTGAGTGATAGGGGAGTTGCAGTTTTAGATGTGGTGAGTTGGGAAGGCCATGATGGTGACATTTGTGTAGAGATTTGAAGAAGTTAGGAAGGAGTCATGATGGTCTTTGAGGGAAGAGCAGTCTAGGCAAAGGAAGTAGCAGAGCAAAATCACCAGAAAGGCAGTGTATCTGACAAGGTTAGGACACTGAGAGGGGAGCAGTGTGTCTGGAATAGAGTGAATGGGGAAGAGGGTGGTAGGAGACGAGCTTTAAGAGGTAACAGGAGTCAGATCGCATTTGATCTTGCAGGAAATTACATGGACTTTGGCTTTTGCCCTGGTAAGTCGTTGGATGGTTTTAGACAGAAGTATGACATGATTTTAGATTTTAGCATCATTATGGCTGATGTGTTGAGAATAGGGGGGACAAGAGTGAGAGTAGGGAGGACAGGTATGCAATAACACAGACAGCATTTGAGGGTGGCTTGTACCAAGATGGAGGAGGTAAGTAGTGATTGGATTCTGGATGTATTTTAAAATGTTCACAATATTTACTGCTGAATTGTGAGTGGGGTGTAAAAGAAAAAGAATAGTCAAGGATAGTGCCTAGATTTTTGGCCTGAGCATCTGAAAGAATGGAATTGTCATGTATTGAGAGGGGTAAAACTGTGAGAAAAGCACGTTTGGGATGGAGTAAATATCAGAGTTCAGGTTTGTTTTTGTTATGTTTCAGATGCTAACCAGACATCTAAGTAGAAATGTTAGATGGGCAACTTGAAATAGGAATCTGGAGTTCAGCTCAAGAGAGACATTTGGAAGTCATAGGCCCATAGATGGTATTTGAAGCCATGAGACTGGAAGAGATATAACCAAGGAGAGAGTTAATGCTCTGAGTCCTGGTGTTTTCTAATGTTTAGAGGCAGGGGAGATGAGGGCAAACCAGTGAAGGAGACAGAGAAGGAGCAGCCAGAGAAAAATGAGGAGAGCTAAGAGAACACTCTATTCTGGAAACCAGATGAAGAAAATGTTTCAAGGAGGAGACAACTGTCTTTGTCATATGCTGCTGATAGGGTAAAGATGAGAATAGAGAATGGATCACTAATTTGGTGCCATGGAGAATACTGGTGTAGTAATAGTGGTGAGACACTGATGGGAGTGGGTTCAAGAGAGAATGAGAAATTGGAGACAGAAGGTAGATAGCTCTTTAAAGTAATTTATTTATGTATATTTTTTGGCTGTATGTGTGTGCATCCTAAGTCACTTCAGTAGTGTCTCTTTGCGACCCCATGGACTGTAGACTGCCAGGCTCCTCTGTGCATGGGATTCTCCAGGCAAGAATACTGAAATGGGTTGCCATGCCCTTCTCATTTTTTGGCTGTACCATGCAGTTTATGGGATCTTAATTTCCCTGGCCAGGGATTGAACCTGGGCCCCCTGTATTGAATGCTTAGAGTCTTAACCACTGGACCACCAGGAATGTCCCTAGACAACTCTTTAGAGAGTGTTACTGCAAAGGCAGAGATCTAAGGGGTGACTGTGGGAAAGGTGGGGTTAAGAGGTTTTAAGATGAGAACACTTCAACACTCATGTTTTATGGAGAAATGGGGGACAACATGGCTTGAGAGTGAGAGTCAAAAATTGATTTGGTGGCTTGAGATGTGTGAAAATTAGCAATAATCACTGAGGAAAATGAGAAAGGGTGCTACCTCAAACAAGTAACTTTGAAATTTTTGGAACCTCACATTTCAAAACAATATATTTCATTATCTTTCTTCACATTCTTAATTTCATTCAAAGATTTGAGAAATTCCCTGAGGAGAATTCTTAAAATTAGCTTACTATTATCTCATATTAATGAAAATTCTATTTCCATTGATATTTGCATTTCTTATGATATTTTTGACATTAGATATTTTATATGCATAAAAAAGAAAATTGCCTTTTGAGATCCATAACCAAAAAGGGTAATTGTCAGCCATCATTCTGATTGTTAAAGGAGTTACAAGGTGAAGTTACAAATAGGAAGAAGGGGAAATGTTTAAAGGAGAAATACTAGAAGGTTGTGATGTAGTAATACTGAAAACTTGTTAGTTCTTTATAATTTACAAGGCCTTTGTACATATAATCCTGTTTAGTACTCTAATAGCTCTGTTTTATAGGAATTATTCCCATATAAACCGAAATTTAGAGGTGTGAGATGCACTTTCTACATCACGAAAGTAATAATGTGCAGAACTCAACACAGCTCAAATTTTCCAACTTTAAGAATATGAGACGTCATTTTGATAATGCTTTTTAGAATGTATGAATTGTAATTTGTATTAATTTATAACATAGATGCTGATGGGTCACTGACAGTGGATTGGGATGAATGGAGGAAGTATTTTTTATTTAAACCTGCAAGACTTATGGAGGAAATCGCCCATTACTGGAGCCATTTTACCGTAAGTCATCTCTTTTCAAGAATTTGTATGTTTTATTCTATGAATCATGGGTATAAATGTAATGCATTACATACTTTTAGAAAATTGTGGGGCAAGAAAATTATTTAGTGAGGTTTTGCTGATGAAAAAACTGATGCTATACTATATTATAAGTGATATTTCCTCAGAAATTTGTATGATGCTAAAAAAATCTGAGTCGACATGTAATATCTACTTCAACTTAAGTTTCAACCTGCAAAAGGCACACATCTGCTGAGACGAAGTACACTCTTAAGAGTTGATTACTCCTACTCAGCACCATCATTTTGTGTTGTAGTTGCTTATTTTCTTGCCTGAAAAGTAGGGAGTGTGAATTGCAGATTGCTGTATTATATAGCACTTCACTGATAAATACTTGTTGGATGAATGAATAAAATTTGAACAGAAGCTTTTGAAAGAGTGTCAAAGCTTTAGTTTTTTTCATATTCATATATACCTAGAGTCGGCATAGGTCTTGTCTGTTGGTGCACTTAAAAATCTATGCTTCATAACTTCTTAAAGTTCTCAAAATTTCTTAAAATATCTTAAAAGTCTTGCTTAGTAACTACAAACTAAAATCTATACTATTCTTCTATGTCTCATGATTATATGTATACAGTCTTGCACAATGCAGATTTGAACTTCACAGATTTGCTTAATATGCAGATTTTTCCTAGTAAATATGTACTAAAACACTACATGATCTGTGGTTGACAATGGATATGGAGGGCTAACTGTAAAGTTCTACATGGATTTTTGACTGTACCTGGCATCAGTGCCTCTAACCCCTGTGTTATTCAAGGGTCAAATATATACATGCATCCATATGTCCTGTCTCTGAGAAAGGGCGAAGATCAGTAGGATCACATTATTATTGATAGATATAATAATCTTACTGTCTTAGCTGTAATAGTGTGCCTTCTCTACTCATAATATGACCCTTACAAAACTGTCTAGTTACCAACATTCTTTCAATAAATATGTAATCATTAAGAGATTTTTTCCTTTAGGAAGTGTTCATTCTATAGCTTCCTTTTAGAGATGATTAAAGCAAATTCAAGTAAATGAAAAATACATTTATTGTATGCCTATGTGTGCGCTAAGTTGCTTCAGTTGTGTCCGACTCTTCGTGACCCTACAGACCATGGCCGTGCAGGCTCCTCTGTCCGTGGGATCTCCAGGCAAGAATGCTGGAGTGGGTTGCTGTGCCCTCCTCCAGGGGATCTTTCCCACTCAGGGATTTAACCCTCATCTCTTATGTCTCCTGTATTGGTAGTGCCACCTGGAAAACCCATTGTATGCCTAATAGATGATAAGTTTTCTGTTTAATAATGAGATAAACAGCAAACAGGCATGGAAAGTGCCTATTTTGAAAATTAACTGATATAGTGTTGGTAATAATCTACTAAAGTCATTTAAAATGAACTCAATGAACTGCCTTTTGGGTATAGTGCTAACAAAGGGTGCTTCATTTGTTCCATGGGCAGGTCCACTGTTTGGTTTATAGTAATTTCACAGGATACAAATGTGCAGCCGGTTCTGCAGGGTGGAAACAGAGTGCCAGCTCCGGTTCAAATCCCAGCTCTGCCATTTACCATCTGGGTGAGCTGGAGTAAATTGTTTAATCTCTCTGGGCCTCAGTTTTCTTAACTGTAAAATTGGGATAGTAATACTTACTTCTCTTAGGGTTATTATGAGAACTGAAGATGACACATAGAACTGTTTAATACAGCACTGGGTTTTCTCCGTAAATGTCAGCTTTTATTTCTTAAATAGATATTGAGCTATTTCCTAGTCATATTATTGCTAGTGACTAAGCACAGCCAAGCACTTGGAGGCCTAATTGCTTTCAAGCACTCTATGTTTTACAATTAGTAGTATTGGCAACTGACATTCACTGAGTGTTTTTTAGTGCCAAGCATTATGCTGAGTGCTTTATATGCTCTAAGTCACTTAATTTTAATAAGTCTACCCAGTTAGGTATTAGTATTGTTCCTCTTTGCATTTGAGGAAACTAAGTCATAGATGGTTCATTCAGTTAGGAGCTCGGGGATTTGGGATTTGAATCCCACCTGACTCCTGAGCCTAGGTCCTTAATCATGACATATGTGGTCAAACTTCTAGACCCTCAAAAAAAATCCTACTTGTGATATATATACCACAGAATTTATTATCTGCTCTGCACACTACACGGGAAGGCCCAGGTTTTTATCAATTACACAGGAAAGTGCTTCTAAATGTATTGTCATATATTTTATATTTGCTTTGTTAGAAGTGAATGGAACAACAGACTGGTTGCAAATCAGAATGAGTATGTCAAGGCTGCATGTTGTCACCCTGCTTATTTAACTTATAGAGAGTACATCATGCAAAATGCTTGGCTGGGTGAAGCACAAACTGGAATCAAGCTTGCCAGGAGAAATATCAGTAACCTCAGATATGCAGTTGACACCACCCTTATGGCAGAAAGCGAAGAACTAAAGAGCCTCTTGATGAAAGTGAAAGAGGAAAGGTAAAAAGTTGGCTTAAAACTCAGCATTCAGAAAACTAAGATCTTGGCATCTGGTCCCATCACTTCATGGCAAACAGATGGGGAAACAGTGGAAACAGTGTCAGACTTTATTTTCTTGAGCTTCAAAATCACTGCAGATGGTGACTGCAGCCATGAAATTAAAAGATGCTTGCTCCTCGGAAGGAAAGCTATGGCCAACCTAGACAGCATATTAAAAAGCAGAGACATTACTTTGTCAACAAAGGTCCATCTAGTCAAGGCTCTGGTTTTTCCAGTGGTCATGTATGGATGTGAGAGTTGGACTATAAAGAATGCTGAATGTCGAAGAATTGATGATTTTGAACTGTGGTGTTGGAGAAGATTCTTGAGAGTCCTTTGGACTGCAAGGAGATCCAACCAGTCTATCCTAAAGAAAATCAGTCCTGAATATTCATTGGAAGGACTAATGCTGAAGATGAAACTCCAATACTTTGGCCACCTATGTGAAGAACTGATTCATTGGGAAAGACCCTGATGCTGGGAAAGACTGAAGGTGGGAGGAGAAGGGGACGATAGAGGATGATGTGGTTGGATGGCATCACTGATTTGATGGACATGAGTTTGAGTAAGCTCGGGGAGTTGGTGATGGACAGGGAAGCCTGGTGTGTTGCAGTCCATGGGGTCGCAAAGATTCTGACACTGTAGTGGGAATTCCTCATAATGTACTTTCACAGCCTTGAGAAATTCCACAGAAATAGCACCTGGAAAAACAGCATATATTAAGAAATTGTGTTAATGATTATCTTTCATGTTTTTCTTAAGAATAATCTCCTTGTTACAAACCCCAAGGTCAAACCCAGAAGGGAGTATGACTGGGTTCATGAAAGCATGGACCTTGGAACACCTGGGTTGGCATCAGGCATGAACACCGCCTACGCACTTGCTGATTATTCCTGAGACTAGCCCAAAAGGGAATGGCCTGGGGTAAAAACAAGGAGATCGGGACTGTGTCAATGTAGTGTCTTAGGAAAGATAGGATAAAAAAATCTTGTAGTCTGCAATTAGGAATAAAAGCTGGACTCAGAGTGGACTCTGCACCTCAGTCCAATAGCGGCTGCAGGTCCCCTGACACATTGCACAGATTTCATGTTCTGTCTTCATTCTCAGTTGCTCGCTCCCGGACCATTAGGGCAACATGACATGAGTGAGCGACTGAACTGAACTTGTTAGAAGTGAAGAGTCTGACTGAAGATAATAGGAGAATCCACTACTCTTGAACACGGAAGATACTTATACATTATTGCCTCTTAAATTACTATTCTCACCACTGTTTCAATAGCCTGTATTTGACTACGGGGCATCCTCAATGGCTCAGCGCGCAAAGAATCCTCCTGCAATGCAGGAGACACAGGAGAGCTAAAAGTATTTATTAGAATTTGACAGATTGTTCTTTTTGTATTTAATCTTAGACAAATAATTTTATATTGAAAATGGTATACAAATTTTTAAATGGTTGAGTTGTAAAGGTTATCCTAAGCATGACACAAAAAATTATCAATTTATATTTTTAATATAGTTATATTAACTTATAATTGACAATATTTCAAGCTAATTTATGAGTTATTTAAAGTTATATTAGTTGGTAAGACACAAAATTCTAGGAAAGGCTGATATTAATTTCCTGTGGAGATGAAATATATAAAAAATTTAGACCTTATTAGGAGATAACATTTCCATTTGAGATCAGCTAACTATAATGTTATGTAAAATTTGTTTTGATAGGGAATTGACATGGGAGATAGATGGACTTTTCATAATTTAATTGATGAAAAGAGAAAATCTGGCCGTCTATGGAAATATCTGTTGGCTGGAGGCATAGCGGGTAGTTGTGCTCGAACATGTAGTGTCATTAGAGCGTCTGAAAACCCTCATGCAGGTGTGTTGCATAGTTCATGTACATGCTTTTGAGTAATGTGAATAATGTTTGATGCTTTTAAAAAGGAGGATTTCAGAAGTCTTAATAATACTTCTTGATTTTGTCATGTACAAATTGCTTCATTGCCAGTAATCTAGACTCAGTTATTCAGTAAATTCCCAGACACTCAACTCACCTTGAAGGTACAACAACCAAGTGATATAGCATTCTCATTCACTTGCATTTTGGAGTTTTGTGATGGAGACAGATCTGCAAATAAATAATTAAATACAACCTACTACTAGTATTCTAGAGAGGGCAAAAATTAGGAAAATCTTTTTTTTTTTTTTTTTTTGGTGGAGCCTGGGAAGGGAAGGCTACACAATACTCTTGATTCTCTCCCTGGACTGGAAATCGTGGCAAGAGACAGAAAGCGGTCAGGGTTGCACTCCCTCTTTATTCCTTATCGAATGCAGGGCCCTGTAGGTGGAATTCTTCAGTTTTCTGAAGTTTCGGGTCCGTTTCAAATTGATGCAGGCACTGAAGAAATTGCCTGAGCCTTGTGGCCAAGTCTGTGGTTATGACTGTTCAACTGAAACCAGGTGAGAAGGGTGTCCACCTTCTTGATGGCTCTATTCAAGGCAGAAATGATGGACCTATAACAACATTCAGTCACTGTCTCCTTTTAGCTTCTTTGGGTCACCATGGAATAAATTTGTCTCTAACTTTTATAGAAATATACAAAGCAAGGGAGCGTGTCTGGCAGCTGGTATTCTGAGTTCAAAGAAGGGGGAAGGGACAGGAGGCCTACTGTGTATATTTACTCACTTAATCCATCTGTTTTTAGTCCTATGCCTCACTGAATTCTTGAATTCTGTATTCCTGAGTTAAGATCCTCTCTGCTTCCTCCAGAGAATAAAGACTCATGGATTTTTAACGGAAAATTTACTTCTATGTGCTTTCCCCTCATCCGACCCTTAAGTTACAACTTTTACTTTGCTAAATTAGTTATCACTTTTCCATTTGCTTTCTACCTCCCCCAAATCAGATGAAACCACTCATACCCTTTTCCCCTGCAGATTAGTAATGAGGTGACCGTATAATTTTCATTTGAACCAAGACACTTTTAAAAAAGAAAGGGGTGCTTAATAATTATGGAGGGACAGCTTTTGGGCAAATTGGGATTGATGGATGCCCTAGATTGCCTTCTTTGTTACTTTACTATCGTTTTCATGTGGTTTTGGGAGGACGAGGAAATAAACATGTGGGGTCATTCTACCACTTTTACTGAAAGTCAGTATCTTACATGTCTAAAATTATTTTATTTTTCTTTTCTCCTAGATTGGCAGTTTGGCAGAATATGGACATCAAGGTCAAAAATGCTTTCCCTTAGAACTTCTTAAGGCATTATGCTATTATTTTCTAGCATTCAGTGTTACTTCTGAAAAGTCTGATGCCATTTTGATATTTTGTTGATTACCTGGTCTTCCTCTCCGGAAGCATTTAGTCATGCCTCTACCTTGGCCTTTCCCAATGGCTCAGCATGTAAAGAGTCTGCCTGCAATGCAGAAGACACAGGAGACACGGGTGAGATTCCTGGGTAGGGAAGATCTCCTGGAGGAGGAAATGGCAACTGACTGCAACATTTTTGCCTGAAAAATCCCATGGATAGAGGAGCCTGGCGCGCTACAATCCAAAGGATCTCAAAGAGTCGGACGTGACTGAGCAACTAAGCACTGCGTTGGGTATTCTGAAATTGTGCAATGTGAGTTTAGGTGGGTTCTTTTCAACCCATTGTGCTTGACACTTGGTGGGCTCTTCTTAACTGTAAACTTGGGTCTTTCCTCAGCATTAGTGTGTTCTAGCATTTCCTCCTTAGTTTTCTTCACTTAATTCTCTCTGGCGTTCTGGTTGAATGGTTGAATGTGGTACCTCCCAGACTGACCTCGATGCAGCTTGTGTGTGTGTGTGTGTGTGTGTGTTAGTTGCTCAGTTGTGTCTGACTTTTTGTGACCCCATGGACTGTAGCCTGCCAGACTCCATGGGATTTTCCAGGCTAGAATACTGGTGTGGGTTGTCATTCTCTTCTCCAGAGGATCCTCCTGACCCAGGGATTGAGCCTGGGTCTCCTGCATTGCAATCTTATCTTTTCATAAATATTTTTATTACTATGTCATTTTACTCGACATTCTGGGACATTTCTTCAGTACTGTTTTTTAACCCTTCTATTGAACTTCTTATTTTAGTAATCACAGTTTAAATTTCTGAGAGTTCTTTTTATCTTTTTGATTGTTCTTTTTTCATAGTATCTTTTTTTTGTTTGGTATTTCTTAAAATAAATTCAGTATCATCTTGATTCTTTCTGAGGATATTGTAGGGTTCTTTATGTGGTTTAATTTTAGTTAACAGTAGTTTCCTAAATTGTCGCTGTTTTCTGTGGGTTTAATTATTCTGTTTACCTCAGTTTTGGGTTCTATGCTGCCTTTCCTACTTCAGATATATTATGACCTTTTATTGTTCTTTTGTATTAAAAATGAAGAATGGATATTTTAGGTAGCTTGTATAGATTTCTTCTGCAGTTGTGTTTTCTAGCTATGTTTCTCCCACAGATTTTTTCTTTTTTTTACAAATTGAGATTTAATTGACTTATTATATTAGTTTTATGTGTACAATATAATGATTCAATACAGGTATGCATTGCAAACGATCACCACAATAAATCTAGTTAACATCCATCACCATATATAGTTACATTTTTTTCTTCTGATGAGTTTTAAAATCTACTCTCTTAGCAAATCAGAATTTCTGTTAAAGAAAGAATTTATACATCTGTTTATTTGCATTGTCTTTCTGTCACCAAGAAAATCAAGGAATGACCACAAGAAATAAATCCATGTGAATCAGCCTCTTGAAAACTCCACACTTTTTTTGGTAGTCTCATTGCTTCTGTTACCAGCTTCACTCTTCTATGCAGGGCAGGTTTAAGCTTCTGCACTCCACACTCTCCACCTCTCCTCTCTGGGAGGCTGAGATAGAGGACCAGGGGGCAGCAACCCTTCTCAGGTCTAGCCCTGCTCTGCTTGTAGCACTGTCATTTTTCCATTATATACATTGACACTAAAAATTACAATACTCTTGGTGAATTGAACCTTTTGTCACTGTGAAGTGATCTTCTTTGTCTCTGTAAATGCCTTTAGTTCTATTTTGTCTGACATTAATATAGATGCACTCCCTACTCTTGCTTGGGATTTGTGTTATATATCCATTGTAATTCTTTTACTTTCAGGCTTTCAGCATTTGTATGCTTTAGATAAGTCACAGGTAAATGGCATATAGGTGGTTTTTATTTTATTTTATATATTTTTCATTTGCTTGGCTTGCCAGCATGGCTTGCAGGATCTTAGTTCTTCTACTGTGGATTGAACCAGGCCCTCGGCAGTGAAATCACAGAGTCCTTACCACAGACTGACAGGGAATTTCCTGGATTTTGTTTTATTTTAAACTGGAAGACTTATTTCACTGAACAGTTGGTGTACTTATTGATATTTTGTTCAAAGCTGCCATCTTATTTTATGCTTTCTATTTTTCTTGCATGTTCTAAGATTTTATTTCCTTTCTTGCCTTCAGTTATATTTTTAAAAGTTATTCTACTTTTTTCCCCCTCCATTAGTTTTTGATGTTGTTTTTAAAATATCACTTGGAGTAATAACTTGAGGAACTATGATGCTGATATCCAACTTCAGACTACATTTTTATTTGTTTCTGTTAGGTGCTTGGGAGGACTATCAATCTGGGATCACATTATTTAATTCAGATTTGAGTGTTGAAGTTCCCAGAACCGCCCAGCTGATACAAAGCCATGCTGTAAGTCCTTGCAGAGGCTGGTTTCTTCCGGTTTACCCTTACCATGAGGGGATAGACCTTCAAAGTCCCAGTTTAAAGTGGAGATGGTTCTTCAGAGACCTATACCTTCAGTGAACACTGAGCTTTGTCTTTTGTTTTCTGTTAACCTAGCGAGGTAACAAAACAATGACTTAACTTTATAACTGTTTTTTTCTGGGTCCAGAAATACACTTGAGTGCTAATCCTACCTTTCTGGATTTTCTTCTTCTCTCCTAGATACTGGCCTTGGAATAGGTCTCTGTCTTGTTAGCTCATGGATACCTTTAAGAAACTTTAAGAAATAAATATGCCATTGGCTTTTTCAGTTATCCTTACTTGGAAGTTCATTCCTTCCTTATTACCCAGCTTGCCATTACTGCAAGTGGAATTCTCTACATCAGTTCAGTTCAGTTCCTCAGTCGTCTCCGACTCTTTGCTGACCCCATGAACCGTAGCATGCCAGGCTTCCCTGTCCATCACCAACTCCTGGAATTTACCCAAACTCATGTCCATTGAGTCGGTAATGCCATCTAACCATCTCATCCTCTGTCGTCCCCTTCTCCTCCTGCCCTAAATCTTTCCCAGCATCAGGGTCTTTTCAAATGAGTCAGCTCTTCGCATCAGGTGGCCAAAGTATTGGAGTTTCAGCTTCAACATCAGTCCTTCCAATGAACACCCAGGACTGATCTCCTTTAGGATGGACTGGCTGGATCTCCTTGCAGTCCTAGGGACTCTCAAGAGTCTTCTCCAACACCGCAGTTAAAAAATCATCAATTCTTCAGCGCTAAGCTTTCTTTATAGTCCAACTCTCACATCCATACATGACCACTGGAAAAACCATAGCCTTGACTAGATGGACCTTTGTTGGCGAAGTATTCTGCTTTTTACTATGCTGTCTAGGTTGGTCATAACTTTCCTTCCAAGGAGTAAGTGTTTTTTGATTTCATGGCTTCAGTCACCATCTACAGTGATTTTGGAGCCCCCCAAAATAAAGTCTGCCACTGTTTCCCCGTCTATTTGCCGTGAAGTGATGGGACTGGATGCCATGATTTTAGTTTTCTTGATGTTGAGCTTTAAGCCAACTTTTTCACTCTC